AAAAATTTTTTTTCAAAGTTTTGCAAAATTTGACCTGGCCGGGTTATGAGAACCAATTTATTAAGTTTGTATAGCCTTATAATTACAGGAAGAAACACTTATATAGGGCTTCTCTTGTTTTACAGTCATTGTTCTATTTACTACCTAAAATCTTTATTTCTTTTTTAATTCTATTCTTAATTACGCATGTAAGAATTGGGTCTGGAATGGGGTTGCTCCCATCTGGACTGTGTATAACAGTACCAAATTTTGTATAATATAATAATATGGATCCACATGGTGGCTTTCTGTTTAGGCTTATTTCTTATATTTGAGGTCATAAATATTTCATCTAATATGTGTAGCAGGTTTTCTGACTCTGCACCTTTTATTAAACTATATGCAGCTTTCCATGCTATTTTGGCAGTTTTACAGTATAGAGCAAAGTGTTCTAGGGTTTGAAGTTCCCCTGAACATTCCAGGCACTCTCTGTTATCATCTTGTATTATATGAGTTAACTAATAGCCCAAGAGAAGAGCCTTATGTTAGAATCTCCAGAATATATCTTTGCGCTTATTGTTGACCCATTTAGTGGACATCCAACTCCACAGGTGTGTTTCTAATTCTTTATTTATCGAATTTCTTTGTGATAATGTAGGTGATAGAGATTTCTTTCTCAAAAATTCTATGACTTTGTGAACTGTGAGATTCATTTCTGTCATATTAGCAACTTTGACATCATCAATTTGCCAGGGCCAGTTCATCGCATTTGAGCTTATTTTACCCTCTGTTCTTCTTCAGGCATTTATGTAAAGTTTCCATCTGTTTGGCCAGGCCCAACTTTTGCATGGGATTGAGTTGAGTGCAGCTTTTGGTGTAGTTTGTCTTTTGCATTGCAGCAGTGTTTCTATAGCCTCTCTCTCTGCTTTAGCCCAATATGTTTTGCTTGTAAGCAGCTTAACCCAGATAGTGAGCAGTTTTGCATTAAGCATATTATTCAGAATTAGAGCTAAAAGTCCACTGTATTTCTGACTTTGTTGAAAAATTGAGTATCTAGGTAAGAGTCTTGCTTTATTTTTGATCCACTTTGTTAGAAGATTATTGATTTCTGACAATTGTTTTCTTGTTGGAGGGCTAGATAGGCTGTATACCAAATGCGAGAGATAAACAGCATCTTGGCAGTAATAATTCTATCTTTAAAAGACAGGTTCTGGTTTGATATTTGTTTTATCATATTTTTGATTTTCTTTATTATGTTGGGCCAGACTTTTTGTCTAAATTTCCTGTATGGTCTAAATCAAAACCTAACACCTTTATTGTCTCATTGTCTTTCAGGACTTTAAAGCCTTGTAACTCATGATGATCAATATTTTTGCACTCTTTGTTAAGAGTATTAAGACCGATTTGGTTTTATTAACTCTGGCATTTGAAGCTGATTCATATTTGTGAATGAGATCTGAAATCATTTTCTATTCATCACGTGATGCTATACCAATTGTTAGATCATCTGCGTAAGCAGCTACTTTGAATTTTTGTCTTTGTACCTGGATCCCCTGAAGCTTTTGGTTTAATGAGCTTAAAAAAGGTTCAAATGCAAGAATGTATAAGAGGGGGGATAGAGGATCCCCTTGTCATACTCCTCTTTAAATTCTAAAAGGCTCAGAAATTAGTCCTGTATCCATAATATAAGCCTTTTGTTTAGAGAATATAGTTTTTACTAGCTGAACAAAGGTGGGGTTGAAGTTTATCTTCTCCAGCACTTTTTGTAGATATTGGTGATTTATTCTATCAAAAGCTTTTTCTTGTTCAAGGAAAAGCATCCAGTGTTGTTGAGAGGTTTGACTTTCGTTCTTCATCATTGTAACAATATCCAAAGTGATATTAGTAATAGATCTACCTTTAATAAAGGCTTGTTGGAATGTATCTATTAGTTTGTGGCAAATTTTATTGAGTCTATCAGCCATTATTTTCATGAAAATTTTAATATCACAGTTAGTTAGTAAAATTGGCCTCCAACTACTAATTTCATCAAGTGAAGTTGATTTTTTAGGAATAATAGTAATTATATTCTTGTACCAGGAGTTTGGCATTTTTCCCATGGCTAATATATTATTAAAGATCTTTTCTAGGGCTACACTGTATTCTTCTTCTAACTCTTTGTAAAATTCATAGATAATTCCATCAGACTCTGGGGTCTTATTCTTTGGGAGATTTCTAATTACTTGAATAATCTTCTCCCTAGAGATAGGTTTTGTTAGATCAAGATTGTCTGATAATATAACAAGTGGTAGATCTTTTGTGAGTTCTATAACTTCATCAAAATTGATTAGTTCAGGTTGGTATATTTTTTCATAGTATTGTTTAATATAATGTAAGATTTCTCTTGGATCAGATTGAGATAGTTGTTCTGGAATTTTAATTGTTTTGGTGGCAGAGGTTGAGTGTCTTGTTTTGTAGCGATTGAAGAAGTATTTAGTTAATTTTTTACCACTTTCGATCCATCTAGCTTTAGATCAGATTTGCCACTTATTTGCTAGCTATGTAAGTTCATCTTGAAGATTAACTTTTAACTTTTCAACTACCAGTTGTAGATCACTCAGATTCGGGTCTCTTGCAATCTTGCTCTCTAGAGTAGTGATCTTTTTATTAAGCTTGTTGATACTACTCTCTGGTGCCTTGGGGAGTTCAGTTGTTCTCGCTATCGACTGTATTTTGCTTTTGTGAATGTCACATTTTCTTTGGCCTTGCACTATGCTCAATTTGTTAATAACCTCATTATGAACTCATTTAATCCTTATACTTCTTATTTCTAACTGCCAATATGCTTTGTAATTAGAGTTTTTTTCAAAACATAGCTCACTTATAACTAACACATAGTCAGAATTTTCAAATTTTGTATATGTTTTTCTACAGCACTGGGCATATTGATCTTTGACAAATATATAATCTAGTCTGATAGCCATCATTCATTGACCTCTTGTTTTTTGATAAAATGTAAGGAAGGGAGATTGTTCAGCCACTATCGCTGTGTCAGTCATTCCTTCTATTAGTAATTCTAGTTTTTGTCTAGTTGGGTCATATTGAGAAGGAGCTTGACTTATTCTATTAGTATCAGGGCTCATATTAGTGTTAAAGTCACCAGCAATAATATTAATTGCACCATCTCTTTTTGGAGGGCTCCATGCATTAAAAAATCTTATTCTTTCATTTATTGTAAGAGGGGCATAGATGTTTGTGACTTGAAACTAATATTGTCTATACATGAAAAATAGATAGTTTTTCTTTTAACTCTTTTTTAAATGAGATCAAAGAAAATTATGAAAGTAATAATTCACAATTACATATAGTATTAAATAAGTTTGCAAAGCAATATAAAACAGCCAAATTACATTCTATTCCATGTTTGAGTTCTTTTCTCTATGATCTTAATAGTAACTCAGATTCTTTAGCATGCATCAAGAATAGTAGAAAAATTCAAGTGCAATTTGAGTCTATAAAATGAAGAAAAGCAAATACTAAATAAGGTTTTAAAGATAATGAAAATAATGTTCAGACCATTTCCAAATATAAAGCAAGAAAGATAGCCAAAAAAGAACATAATTTGCATAAAAATATTATAAACAATTCATTGAATTAATATGTAATGAATGTTTATTTAGCATTTAAATCATTCAATTTCTTTTATTAGCTTAATAAAAAGAAATATATTTTACACAAGTATAGTCTGATAAAATTGCATATGTATCTTCTAACCTTGAGTATTAAAAATAAATATCTGGATGTGTTATATTCTATATATTTTTCTACTGTATTATAAAAAAAAATATTCTAAAATTCAGTAATTAGTTTATATAAAATATTATATGATTTTTACATATTTGGACGCAATTACAGTATTGTCAATTACAGAATTATTTGGTATATATATACTATATAACTAATTATATATAATGATAACCTAAAATATTTTGCCAATATTTCTTAAGCTTTTGTCACCACCTTTATATTTAAAAATTATTTTAATGCCTTCATATTTGAAAACAATTGTTTTTATTTATCATTTCTTTATACTTTTATATTCAAAGTCGTTTTAGCAATACTTTTGCATTCAAAGATTCTTTGTTTAGTTTATATCTTTTTATAATAAAACAAAGTATAAATTGTTATATTGCTTAATAAAAAGCTAATTGTTTTTAATAGTAAACTTGTCTTTTTCATATAAGTGTTTCTTATAAAAGTATATATATAAGTATATATGTTCAGTACAGTATAATCGTTGACCCAAGTAAAGCTCGGATTACTGTAGCACATTTTTGAAATTCAATTTTCATTAGTTACTATAGTTATGAATAACGTGATGTGTCACAATATGTAACATAATCGATATAACCTGGCACAGAATCCCAACATGCATAATACTTATATATCGATTTACTTAACCCAATATCATATTTATTAATCTAGTAATATTATTTTATAATATTCAGAATATAGTAAATATTAGTACAAGCCTATTGTCAGTATAATATATAGTATAAATAGCATACTCAAAGTTCTTTAAATTTAAAGCTTATATGTAATACTCAATTTTTTTTTGTTATTTGTTTTTATTATTTAAATCTATATATAGTTAATATAACTAGTATTAGCAGTATACTATATAATAAAAATATTCACTTTTATTTGAAGTTCTTGGAAATATAGATTATTTTAAATTAGTTTTAACAATAAATACATATCTACATTCACTTAGAGCTAGAATTTGCTTTTACAGCTATTTTTTTTGTTAGTAAAATGTTATACTAAAAAGTACTAATAAAGTATATAAATAAATTACTTAGGCAATTGAATATTGTTCTATGAAGAAAATATTACACTAGATACATAATATATTTTTGTGCAACTTAAAAATTTTGGGCCAATTCACAAGTGATGCATATTATGTGACACTCACTTCAACTTCAGAATTATGTGCCACAGGACGGATGCTAACTCTGATCTTGTAAAAGATAGCATTAGCAAAAGTAGAAGTGAAATAGCAATTTTCTAAAAATAATAATTAATTATATTATAATATCTAATAATAAAGAGAATAATAAAAAGTATATCAAATTAGAAAAAAAAAGAGATCTGTAAAAAAATAATGAATTATCTATTTCAGAAAAGAATTTTGAAAAATATTTTCAATTATAGGCTAAGTTATTAAAAAAAAAAACAAAATAATAAAAATTAAATAAATATTAAAGATTTAAATAATTTAGTTTATTTTGCTTTAGATAAAAATGGTAAGTAGCAACTAAAAAACTTATTTAATATATTAAATTTGCTGTTACAGCATTAGCTAAATTGGTAAAAGTTAAAATATTATTAATTAAATTATTAATATATTAGAAATAACTTTTAATTTATACAAAATAATAATATTTAATACAAATATTATATAATTTTGTATACTTTTTTTTATTTTTTCTTTAATTTGTTTATAATATTTTTTCAAATATATATTTACAAAAAAAAATTATTTTTTTAAAAAATATATATTAATATATTAAAATAAGAATTAATCTATTATTAACAAATAAATATAAATTGAATAAGGGTAGTGACATTTATCACCTGATTTTTTTTTTTTATCAGAGACTTACCCCCAGCTCTTAATATACAATTGATCAGGTGTTATATATAAAATTTTAATTTTTTTAACCCCCTCTCCCCTAAAACA